CAACATACCTCCTGACATCCTGCGATTCCCAGACACGTTCCTGTGAGGCAGTGGAGGAAACATCAAAACCGAAGAATCAGAAGGGGGGAAATGAGTCAAATTAGCAAAATCAGAGGAAGGATCGAAGTTACGTTTGATTAGGATTCGAATTCGAGCTTGGATCTGCCATTGACGAGTTTCACGCGGTTTCCTCAGAGAACGATGATCTCCATCGACGTCAAAGATCCCTGTTCCGAATCCGAATTCACGAGTTATAGAAGTCGAACGATTAGGTATCGCGAGGAAGTGGAAAGGATTAGGGTTTACTCGAACGATTCAAGAAGATTCGCTCAAGGTTCTCTAGATCGCGCGACTAACACTTTCTCTCTCGCGTTTTCTTCTTCGACACCGAAGAATTGGGGATTTATTTGGTATGACTTGGAATTGGCGGTTATTCCAGCTTCTCTTCCAAATATTTTAAAGGAAACAAAAAAAAAAAATCCTAGCATTAGTGTCCATATTGGTTTAACTGGATTTTGACCTAAGCAAACATGAAATTAAATACTAATTAAATATATTTTTAATCGATTTAATATTTAAATGTGTATGACAAAGTATATGATTTCTAATATTTATAAACTTACAAAAACGGTATGCATGGTGGATAAATATAATAAAATTAAATTTTGATCAAATATATTTTGATGCCATTAGTTTTAATATTTTTGTTTGCAAAATTGATCAAAATATATGAAAATGTTATTTATTTCAATATATTTTAAGTGTAAAATGATTTTTTATTATTCGTGTAAATTATATAGTATGCAATAAATCAGATAAATTTTAGAGTTATATGAATTTGTCAGACCTAACGAACTATAAATAATATATGTTTTCCAATAATGAAATGTGAATATTTGTAAACGTACTTATATATATATATAATAGAATATCATATTTAAAATATTTTTATATATCATATTAATCTAATTACACACATTTACAATAAATAATATTGTTACAAATATAATAATAAAAATATTTTTAATATATATAAAAAAAATAGATGATATGGTAAGCTAAATATTACATTTACTTGGATTTAGATTTGTAAAACATGTATTAATAGTCTTATGTTACAAAATTAATAAGAATATGTAAAAAATTTTACTATGACATATATTTTTAATTGAAATATTTTCATTGGTTAATTTAAATAATATGTTTCTTAAAATCTTTATTGAGTGACTCATATGATTTTCACCTTAGTGTCTCCTCAATTGACAGAGGATTAAGGGATGCTACCACTACGCTACATGTAAATGGTCAGTAATGTGGTTGCTTTTTTTTTTCCTCCCCACAAAACTGAATATATTATGATGTTAACTGGGACATTACATAATTTTTATGTAAATAAGGAGTTAACCAAACAGGAGGATAGTTACAACTTGAATAAAATAAAGCATTAGGAAGACCCCTTTGAACCAAGCAATGAGCCACTTCGTTTGAACTTCTTCTAATTGCAGTGAATTTGTGGTCAGTAATGTGGTTGCTTAGTGAATATAAAAATGTACTAAATGGCTAAAATAAATTTACACTAGATTTCTACGGGGATGTAGAAAGGAGAGTTCTTACTTTTTGATCGTAGAGATCCATAGTGTTTAGTTGAGATTCTTTTGTTACTAGAATTTACCATTCTTTCTCTTATTACAGAAACATGTTACTATGAACACACATCTACAAGGCTCTCACAGTCTAGCTCTACTTACCATTCTCTGGTGATAGTTCATTTTTTACCGGAAACTACGAGGAATGTCCCGGAAACTTGCCTACTATCTAGCTTCCCTACGAGGAATTTCACAATCTAGCTCTACTTGCCTACTCTCTCCTTGAAACTACGAGGAATGTCCATATCAACTGTTGTCCCTACTCTGAAATTTCAATACATTTTCTGTTCAAAGATAGATTTTTGGTTCTGCACTTTAAAAAAAAGAGAGTTTTAATAATGCCATAAGAGACTCAACCGAAGGAGGTGAAACAGAGCAAATAGTCGAGTGATTCAACGATAAAAATAACAACTGAAAATCCAACATTACTACAAGGAACAGAAGCAAAAGCAGTAGAGCTAGATCCCACATAAGTCCCCCTCTTTTGGTTCACAAAGGCAGCGCAACGCAGAGGCTTCTATGGGAAGTAGACAGGCCAGTTGTAATAATACGAGTCCCTGACTTCTTTCGGTATCTTATTCCACTGAAGAACAAACAGAAGAACCAAATAAACTCGTGAGAAATGTTGCCAAAATGTTATGTTACGAAGAAAAGATTCAGTTCGTGAGGCTAAAGTCTGAAACCTTGAATTCGTAAGGCTGCTTCTTCGCCCTTGCTTTCTTCCAATGGTACTGCTCAAAGAGCATCCACTTATCATGATAACTGCCATATTAGAGAGTATGAGAGAACCATACAAAAAAAAACAATAGTTTGGATCAGCCACCAAACTACCATATCAGAGAGCACAAAGAATCAGCCCTTGATACTTATCGAGATGAAATTCAAAGTGGAGAGAACATGCTTATCTATCTAACTCTCGTGAATCCAATCCAATCATATTATCATACAAGTAAAGAAATGAAGGAGACAGAGACCAAACGCTACGAAGTTACAGTCCCTACATGACCAAACGCTTCCTCAACAATAAAATGATATGAAACATGGGATTTAGCTAACAACTTCATGAAAGAAATCAAAGAATCAAGAGCTATATACCGAAACCTATTTCTCGTTGAAGCAAGTCACAGAACCAAAACACATGAAACTACAAAACCAATTCGGAACCCAGACACTCGCAATCAAACAAAAAAGCCCAGAATTCCTAAACTGAGAATCCGATTAGAGCGAGAGAGAGAGAAAGTGTAGATGATTACTTGAACTGGTTGGAGAGCTGCCACATGTAAGGATTGAACCAAGTGAGAGCGGAGAAAGCAGCAGAACCAATCCATATATTCACGAACCG